CGTCCGTCTCCAGAGCGTGAGCCCCAAGCCCCAGGCCGTACCCAACATGGTCCAGGAAGGGCGCTGACATCCAGAGCCTTTAACAATCAAGGGGCCCTGGATGCCTCAGGACCCCAGGTCCTGCCTCCCTCCTGCCCCAGCGTGCTGCCCCTGAGCGTGCTGTACCCCAGCTTGCTGCCCCTGAGCGTGCTGTACCCCAGCTTGCTGCCCCTGAGCGTGCTGTACCCCAGCTTGCTGCACCTGAGCGTGTTGTACCCCAGCTTGCTGCCCCTGAGCGTGCTGTACCCCAGCTTGCTGCACCTGAGCGTGCTGTACCCCAGCTTGCTGCTCCTGAGTGTGCTGTACCCCAGTTTGCTGCCCCTGAGCGTGCTGTACCCCAGCTTGCTGCCCCTGAGCGTGCTGTACCCCGGCTTGCTGCCCCTGAGCATGCGTTTCACCCGCTCCTTAATCAGCTCCCACCCTGAGCGAGAGCGCGGCCTCTCCGACAGACAGGCAGCTGTGAGGACCGGCCTCTGCTGACAGCCGGCCGGGACGCCCGCCTCCTCCCACAGCCACCGCTGTGCCGCCGGCTGATTGCGGTGAGGAGCTCATGCAGCGCCTCAGGCGGGGCCTTCCCGGCTTTGTCCTCGCTCTGCGCCACCGTCCCTGCCGGCGACAGGCTCCTGCTGACAGGCTCTTCGGGGCATCTCCGGCCCCCGCTCCCCGGGTGCTTCTGTCTGGGGAGCATCTCATTACCCGGCCCCGTCGCTGGCCTCCCTGGGCCTCCTTGTGCCGCCGCTGTCACCGTCCCCAGCCTGGCGTCCACCAGGAGCATCTCCCTCTCGGGGGGCCTCGCGGCTCATCGCTGGCTGCCTGGGACCCCAGGGGGGCACCCACCGGCTCCCCTGAGAGCCAGCGTCCCCCCCCCCCCCAGCACAGGGACAGCCCTCCGGCTGCTCAGGGGGTTCACCCAGGCCCAGCCCCGGAGAGCGTGCTCTGGCCCCGCTGGGCTGGGCTCGACCCGGACACTCCCTGCCCCTCTGCCAGGCCGCCGGCCCTGGACCAGCCTCCGAGGTGCCCGGCCTCAGCCTCCTGAGCCTCCAGGCAGGGGTGCGGGGAGCGACTGTGGGGATGTCCCCTAACACGGCTGCCGGGGAGCTACGTGAGGTGGTCCTTTGTACGGGCGGGGTTTGTGGGCTGTTAGACACCGTATGGCGGTGGTGGTGCCCAGAGCTGATTGACAGGCGCTGGTTTGTCAGCAGAGCAGACACTGCCCCAGACTAGGCCCCGGGGTCTCCCCCCATCCTTCCCCTACCCCCAAACTCTGTGCTGGGTCCCCCCACTCTGCATTCCTGCAGTGACTACACCCCATGACCTTGGAATAGGTCACGAAGGGTTAGTACTGTGTTCTATGCAAAGAGATTCAGCCCAGTTTGGTTTTGCTCTGTAACTAGCAGCAATACTGTGCCCGGCAGGTGTGGATCTGCCATTCGTTTATTTATTTTTTTTACTATTCTCCCCCCCATTTATTGATTTAGGTATTACAAATATGTCCTTATCCCCCTATAGTCCCCCCATCCCCCTTCTCATGTCCTTACCACCCCCCTGCTGTCTATGTCCTTTGGTTGGGCTTACATGCATGCATACAAGTCCTTTGGTTGATCTCTCCCCCTTAGCCCCGCCTTCTCCTGCTGGATCTGCCATTCTTACCGGTAACTGTGTCTTCCTGCGACATTGACGGTGCAAATGTGTTTACAAACCCCCGCAGTCACTTCCCTGCTGGCCTCCCTCCCCTGCTGGGGGTGGGCCCTCCAAGGTCATGGCCGCGGGGATGTGGTTCCTGGGAAACTTCCGGAAACTTTCAGTCCCACAAAACCATTGAGGTCTTCCTTCAGAGAGAGTGACTTCAGATCCTTGCTCGAGATGTTATTAGAAAAGTATTTAAACCTTTGCCTTTTATCAAACCCAATGTTAGTTTGCGTCTCTCCCCTATCTGGTGAGGCGGGCACATTGGGGAAGTCGCAGGGGGTAGGGGAGGTCTTATTCAGGGGGGGGGGGGGGAGGTCCCGTGTGCCATGGTGGGCCAGCGGTGGAGTCGTACATGGTATCAGGAGAGGAGGTGCTCTGTAAGCCAGGCCAGGGAATGGCCCAGCGTCTCCTGCTGTGTGGGTTAGACATGGACACCTCATTGCATCTTTTCCAGCAGCTCTGCCGGACGGTCCTCACACAGGACAGGGGCGGGGTGGGGGGGTGCTAGCTTCTTGGCTGAGCAGAGCACACGTGGAGGGGTGCGGTTCATGTTCCCGCCTCCCCAGCCTTCCCGTGGAATGCTGGGAGAATCCCCGGAAGTGACTCGTGGGTCGCTAGCAGATGCTGTGAGCCCCTTCGTCACCGGATCAGACAGAAAAGAACGGAGCCGAGTACGGGAAGAGCTCAGGTCCCTTTGTTCGGATGCTCAGATGCTCAGATCCTGTTTCACGTGGGTTCCTCGCCTTTACAGACCTGCCAGCAAACTATACCCTTTGATGTAATCACCGGGGGAGGTGGGGACACTCTGCTCTCTGCTGCCTTGGATGTGTGTGTTCAATAAATAATCTTTTGCTTTAATTTTTAAAGTTAAGCTTAGGAGAAAGGCTTCTGGTGTCAATAATTTGATAGAGAAAGGAATATGAATTCTCTCTCTCCCCCCCTCCCCTCTCCTCCATTCCTCCTCACCCCTTCCTTTCCCCTCCCCTATCCCCCCACCCCCTTTCCTGCCTTCCCCTTTCTTTAGACCAATATTTTACATTTGTATGCTGCTTTACTTGTCTTTGTTTCATTTTTTTTCTTTCCAAAATATACTTTTATTGACTTCAGAGAGGAAGGGACAGGGAGAGGAAAATAGAAACATCAGTGATGAGAGAAAATCCTGGATCGGCTGCCTCCTGCACTGGGGATCGAGCCCTCAACCCGGGCCTGTGCCCTGACCGGGAATCGAACCGTGACCTCCTGGTTCTTAGGTTGACGCTCAACCCCTGAGCCGCACCGGCCAGGGTTTCTTAATTGTTTCTTCACAGATGTCCTTCAAGGGAGGAGGCAGAGTCCGAGATTTGGACCCTCATCCCAGCATTGTGCTCCGTCCACCGTGGCCCCGGCCTCGGGACCCTCCCCTGAACACCGTTCTTCTGGGTGCGGACCAGGACAGCCGGGCACCAGGCCGGGCATCCGACAGCCCGGGGCCCTGGGCACACGCTACGCTTCAGCTTTCTGCTCTGCCAGTTAGTTCCCACGCCCAGCGGGCAGGCCTGTGAGGGCAGGAGGTGGCTCGCTCATTACGCGCACTCCCGTGTATTTGAAATATTTCATAAAAAATGGACAAGCTGCCGGAACCGGTTTGGCTCAGTGGATAGAGCGTCGGCCTGCGGACTGATAGGTCCCAGGTTTGATTCCGGTCAAGGGCACGGACCTTGGTTGTGGGCACATCCCCAGGAGGGGGTGTGCAAGAGGCAGCTGATGGATGTTTCTCTCTCATTGATGTTTCTAACTCTCTATCCCTCTCTCTTCCTCTCTGTGAAAAAATCAATAAAATATATTAACAAACAAACAACAATTGGCAAGCTCCCCCGGAATTTGCATCAGCCCTGGCCCATGATGAGATGAAGATGGCCAGACACAGAGTTTAAAAATAACTCGGCCCAGGCTCAGCACGGGCCACATCAAGCCATAGCAATGGCCCGTCGGCCCTGCCATGCACATACACCGCGTGTCTTTGCATCCCTCACGCCTAGGCCGGTGCCTGGCACATAGTAGGACTGAACTAGCGACATAGTAGGGAAGAGCTGGTCAGGGCGTCAGTGCTGTCCTGGTCCCAGGACCGGAGTCTCCGGAGCTGCGTGTGAGGCTTCAGCTCCACTCCGCCCGGCTCAGACCTCAGGGTCCGAGCCCAGGGCAGGCCGTCATTTCCGTGGGCACCACGTTCAGCCGTGGGCGTGGGGAAGGGGCTGGCCACAAGCCCCAGACGTCGGTGTCAGCGTCCCACGGAGACGTGCTTCTATGCCCGCAGAGCTGGCGTCTATCGCTCCCTCCATGGGACCCCAAATAGCAGCAGCTCACACAGAGCCCCCTCCTGCTCCCGGGACACGCTTCAGACGCTGACGAGGGAGCCGGCCGCTAGCGATGACACTAACGATGTGGGTTTCCCCTCGCGGGTCCCGGCGAGCGGCGGCCGGGAGCGAACCCTGGAGCTAGTGTGCGTGCCCGGCTCATTGATCTGTGGCTTCGGGGCCGGCACCAGCCCGAGAGGTGGCAGTCCTGGCCGCCTCTCCATCGACAGCATTGGGCTGCCGGGGTGCCGCTCACCCCACTTTCCGTGAACAGGAAGGCCGGGAGCCTGCCGTGCCGTTTCTTCTTTTTTATTTATTTATTTTATTGATTTTTTTACGGAGAGGAAGAGAGAGGGTTAGAGAGTTAGAAACATCGATGAGAGAGAATCATCGATCAGCTGCCTCTTGCACACCCCCCAGTGGGGATGTGCCCGCAACCAAGGTACATGCCCTTGACCGGAATCGAACCCGGGACCCTTCAGTCCGCAGGCCGACGCTCTATCCACTGAGCCACACCGGTTTCGGCCTGCTGTGCCGTTTCTATAGTGAAGCCAGGGGCACGTGGAGTAGCCCACCAGGTCATCACAAGCACCCCCCGGAGCCCCACAGCCTGGAGGCCCGTGCCGCGGCCTCACCGGGCACGTCATGGTTTGCAGTGTTTCCCAAACTTTTGACACATGGGCACCCCTTCGATAATTTTCCTAACGCTGAGCACCCCTCGTCCTCATGAGAACGTAGAATCAGGCGCCGCGGTGCAGTGCATATCCCCACCAAACTCCGGTGCCACGCGTACCCCCACCAGACTCTCCCCGTGCCCCTGGGGGGACGCGCGGCACCGCACTTTGGGAAATGCCGGTTCACAGCGTGAGGGTCCCACGCACCCGCCGTCCCACTCAGTCCCGTCTGTCCCTCTGTCCGTCTGTCCGCCCCCCCCTGCAGGTGAAGGTCATGCTGCGCATCTGCTCCCCGCCGGCCCGCGACTCGGCCGAGTCCAGCGCCTTCCTGAAGGTGGACCCCCGGAAGAAGCAGGTCACGCTGTACGACCCCCTGGCCTGCGGGGGCCAGGGCGCCTTCCAGAAGAGGGGCAGCCAGGTGCCCCCCAAGATGTTCGCCTTCGACGCGGTGTTCCCGCAGGACGCCTCTCAGGTGGGTGCGGACTCCCCCATACCTCTCCCCCCTCCACCTCTCCCCCCCCCATCCCCTATCCCCAGCCCCGGGTACGGACCCCCCATCCCTCTCCCCCTCCACCTCTCTCCCCCCATCCCCTATCCCCAGCCCTAGGTGCGGACCCCATACCTCTCCCCCCTCCACCTCTCTCCCCCCATCCCCTATCCCCAGCCCTGGGTGCGGACTCCTCCATACCTCTCCCCCTCCACCTCTCTCCCCCCTTCCCTATCCCAAGCCCGGGTGCAGACTCCCCATACCTCTCCCCCCTCCACCTCTCTCCCCCATCCCCTATCCCCAGCCCCGGGTGCGGACCCCCACACCTCTCCCCCTCCACCTCTCTCCCCCCATCCCCTATCCCCAGCCCCGGGTGCAGACTCCCCCATACCTCTCCCCCCTCCACCTCTCTCCCCCCATCCCCTATCCCCAGCCCCGGGTGCGGACCCCCATACTCTCCCCCTCACCTCTCTCCCCCATCCCTCTCCCCAGCCCCGGGTGCGGACCCCACACCTCTCCCCCTCCACCCTCTCTCCCCCCATCCCTATCCCCAGCCCGGGTGTGGACCCCCATACCTCTCCCCCTCCACCTCTCTCCCAGCCCCGGGTGCGGACCCCCACACCTCTCCCCCCTCCACCTCTCCCCCATCCCCTATCCCCAGCCCTGGGCTGGGCAGTGCTCAGCCAGTTCCCGGAGCCGTTGCGCACTCGCTGCATGCCCGCTCTGCTGGGCTGGGCTGGCTGCCATGGGCTGGAGGCGGCGCCCAGAGCCCCCGGTCGCCGGTCTGGGCTCCGTGGCACAGTGCGTTGGGGTAACGGGAGTTCTGTGGTGGGCGGGACCACGGTGCCAGGATTTTACCGAGACGGCTCCCTGGGAGAAGGAGGGGCAAGCCAGCTGTGGGTGCCGCCCGGAAGCGGGGGGTCCTGGAGGGAACGGGACGTGTCAGGGCCACGACCTGAGATGGAGGCAGCTGCCTGTGGGACCCCTCTCCCGCCCCCACCTCTGGGGGGGGGGGGTGTAAGAGGGAAAAAGCATTTCCGGGAGCTGGGTTGGATGCAGGCGGGATCCTAGGACCCTCTGGTCCTACAAGACAGAGAATCATCAGCTGCCTCCTGCAGGCCCCCTGCTGGGGTCTGACCCCCCTGGTTCAAGGGTCAGTGCTGAGCCCCTGAGCCACGGCAGCCGGGCAGGACACCAGCCGCCTGACGCTACGTCTAGACAGAACCTTCTTGCTCCTGTCGCCTCTATGAGGCATCCTGTGTCCTTCAGTGGCCGTGGCTGTGGCCAGCTGCCTGCGGTGGGGCAGCCCCCGCTGGCCTGGCTTCATGGAGGCCACCCAGCCCCTCGGCTGCCACACCACATGGCACAGACCCGTGGCTCCGGAGGCTGAAGTCTGAGGTCAGAGTGTCTGGCAAGAACCCCTTCCTGGTTAGCAAACAGCATGTCCGCTGGGGCCTCACAGGGGGGAGGGACCCCGAGCCTGGGGGCTTCTCTCTGCATCCCAGTCCCGAGGCCGCACCCGCGACCTCATCGCCTCCCGCAGTGCCCGCCTCCGCCAGCACCACTAGGATATACATACACGGAGTGGCCAGATCCTTATGCGTTCAGAGATCATAAGAATCTGGCCACTCAGCATGTGTATGTCTGTGTATGTCTGTGTATGTATGTGTATGTATGTGTGTGTATGTGTATGTATGTGTATGTATGTGTGTGTATGTATATTAGAGGCCCGGTGCATGGATTCATGCCTGGGTGGGGTCCCGCCAGTCTGGCCAGGGGGAGGGGACATGGGCGGTTGGCCGGCCTGCCTGCTGGTCGAACTCCTGGTGGAGGGGACAATTTGCATATTAGCCTTTTATTCTATAGGAATGTGAGAGGGTGGGGAGGGTTTCCCCGTGGGAGAGCAGGGCCGCCTGGGGCCTGGGCCCTCCCCGCACTGGGCTCAGCAGGGCCCCCCGAGTCTGCGGGCCTCAAAAAAGCAGCTGGTGCCCCCCAGGGGCCGCTGGAGGCTCCTAACAAGCTGCAGATGGACAGTCACTGGCCACTCTTCTCCGTGGACACGGGCAGGGCCTCGGCCTGTCCTTGCGCGGGGCCCCCTGCCTCCTCTGGGGCTGGCGCAGGTGACTCCAGGTGGCCCTGTGGGCCGCAGCCTGCACGCTCCCTGCGGCCCCGCGTCTGTGCAGCTGGTTTTAGGGATGGATGGGGTGGGCTCCCAGCCTCCTCCCTCTGTCTCCGCTGTGTCCAAGGAGGGCAGAGTTTGCTCAGCCTCTGGCGCGTTCCATCGAGACTCTGTGGCCCCAGGATGGCGTGGCCCAGGCCCCGGGGTATGATGGATCCTGGGGCGCCCACCCCAGTCAGCCCTGTCCTGCCCTCCTCCCCCTGGACGGTGCCCCAGCCGAGCAGCAGAGACCACCCACAGCTGCCGGGCGGGGTTTTCCGTTCGGTCGGGGAGAGAGGTGCTTTCTGAACACTGGCTTCTCTGGCTCTGAGGAGCCCATTCATGGCCGGGCCGCGTCCCCCGGTGCCGCTGGGTGGCCGTGGCGCTGACCGCAGCGCCGCCTGTGGTTCCCACAGCTTCTGGATGCTTCCAGGAGGTCTGGCTCCGTGCTGGGAGGGAGAGGACCCTCCAGTCTGCAGGCCAATGCTCTATCCACTGAGCCAAACCGGTTTTAGCTTAAGTATTTTTGTATTGATTTCAGAGAGAGGGAGATGGAGAGAGAAACATCAGTGGTGACAGAGAATCATGGATCAGCTGCCTCCTGCAGGCCCCCTGCTGGGGATCCATCCTGCAACCTGGGCACATGCCCTGACCGGGAATTGAACTGAGACCCCCTGGTTCATGGGTCCGTGCTGAACCCCTGAGCCACACCAGCCGGGCAGGACACCAGCCTCTTGACTCCTGTCGCCGTTATGAGGCAGCCTGTGTCCTTCAGTGGCTGTGGCTGCGGCGGGGCAGCCCCAGCTGGCCTGGCTTACGGAGGCGACCAGAAACCGGCGTGGCCCCAGAAGGCACCGAGGCCGTGGGGGATGGGCGCGGAGCAGGGGGTCAGTGGGACATGCACACGGCCCTCAGAGCCTGCCCCCGCGCGCCCCCCACGCCGGGAGTCAGCGTGTGTCATTGGCGGGGGAAGTGTGTACGCTGACTGTATCGGGGCAGAGAGAAAGAAAAGGCTGAAAAGGAGGAGAGAGAGGAAGGAGGTGGGGAGAGAAAGCAGGAATCACAGCCTCCTGCCTCCATTAGAACCACGGTTGTTCTCAAGGTCCCTTCCTGAGTGACCCCCAAGGTCACCCGTTCCCCTCGAAAGGCTGGCGGTTTATAATGGTGTGTGTGCCCATGTGCGTGCGTGTGTGAGCGTGTGTGCGAGCATGCATGTATGAGCGTGTGATCATGCATATATGAGCAGGTGTGTGAGCGTGTGTGTGCGCTCGTGAGCATGCATGTGTGAGTGTGCATGTATGAGTGTGTGAGAGTATGCAGCACGCACGAGCAGATGTGATCATGTGTGCGAGCGCGTGTGAGGATGCATGTGTGAGTGTGTGTCAATGTGCATGTATGAGTGTGTGTGAGCACGTGTGTATGAGCGTGAGCATGCATGTGTGAGTGTGTGTGAACGTGCATGTGTGAGAGAGTGTGCGTGCGTGTGTGTGCGAGCACGCATGTGTGAGAAAGGATCTAGTTAGCAGGAGCAAATGGAACGTTTAAACGCCTCATCCGGAGGCCAGAATAGCGGCAGGGGGTGTGTGAGGTCCATAGAGGCTCCCGTGTCCCTCCACGGCTCTGCTGGGGAGCAGACAGCACTGAGATGTCCCGGGAGGGGCAGGGGCCTGGGTTACTGCGTGCGACGCCGGCGGGATGGGGGGCACCGGGGCTGTTGCGGTCCCGTCTGGGCGCGCCGTGGCCCCGAGCGGGAAGCCGGCTCCTCGGCCCGTCAGCGAGGCCCGCTCACCGCCTTCTCTCTCTCCGCAGGCGGAGGTGTGCGCGGGCACCGTGGCCGAGGTCATCCAGTCCGTGGTCAACGGGGCGGACGGCTGCCTGTTCTGCTTCGGCCACGCCAAGCTGGGTCCGTGAGGCTCCGTCCCCTGTGCTGCTCCGGGCTCCCTTCCCCGGCCCCCTCTCCTGGTCCCGGTCCCCCGGCGGGAGGAGGGGCTGCCCCTGAGGGCCGAGTTAGAGGACCCCGACGGGCATCCTGCTGCTGAGAGGAGGTGTCCATTCGGGGTGGAACCGCCATCCAGGGGAGCCTAAGCTCCGGAGATGAGCATGGAGCGTGGGGTGGTTCCCGTGGGGTCCAGGTCAGGGTCACACCCAGCGAACCCACAGGAGAATGTACCCCTGAGCAGGGGCTGCTGGGAAGCACGCCCCCCCCCTCCGGAGGATTTGGGTGGGAGATGGAGCTGACGTACCCATCCCAGGAGCCGCTCCGAGCAGAGCCCAGGCCACGCTGCACTATGGGCCGTTTGCGGCCTCGCTTCCCCCCCTCCAGCCCCGCCCGCCCCTCGGGCACCTGGGAGGGCAGCAGCCGACCTCTGCAGGGGCCTCCCCCACGCTGACCCTGGCCGCCTGTGCACGGGCCTCGCCTCCGGCCGGGCGAGCGAGTGAGAGTGTCCCTTGGCCCAGACGCTGCCAGAGGCCCTGGCGCTGGAGGGCAGGTCCAGGGGGACGGAGGCCCCTCCCTCCTCCCCTCCCCCTCCTCTTCTCCATCTCTGATCGGAGCCCTGACCGGGCTCACTGGGTTTGCTCCTGCGGAGAAGAGACACAGGGCCTTGAACTTGAGGGGGTGTGAGGTGCAGGGGGTGGGCGGTGAGATGACGCACCGAAGAGCAGTGAGCCCTGCCTCCCGCTCCTCCGGGCCAGACTGTGCAGAGCAGGGGGCATTGGCATCGGGGTCCCCCTGGAGGCACTGGTGACTCCGTGGCGTCCTTGGCCGTGGCTCTGAGGTCCGACTGCAGCCCTTCTGTCAGGAACGCTGGGAAGGGGCCGTGGGTCACTGTTGGCAAACGCTGCGCGTCCCGCTCACCGTCCTCCCCTCCCCCGTCCCTCCCGCCCCCATGCCTCTCTCCTGCCGCCCGGCCCTCGCTCCTGAGGCCGGAGCCGCCCGGACGCTCACTCGCCATCTCCCCCCCCCCCCCACCGGCCCCGCAGGCAAGTCGTACACCATGATCGGCAGGGACGACTCCACCCAGAGCCTGGGCATCATCCCCTGCGCCATCGCCTGGCTCTTCAAGCTCATCAACGAGCGCAAGGAGAAGACGGGCGCCCGCTTCTCGGTGCGCGTGTCGGCCGTGGAGGTGTGGGGCCGCGAGGAGAGCCTGCGCGACCTGCTGGCCGAGGTGGCCACCGGCAGCCTGCAGGACGGCCAGTCCCCCGGCGTGTACCTGTGCGAGGACCCGGTCTGCGGCACGCAGGTGAGCGAGGCGCGGGGCCGGGATCGGGGGCTGGGTGGGCCCCCCAGGCGGGCTCCTGGGTACGGGATCCGATCTGGGGCTCGGCTTGCCTCCGGGGCTGGCTCCCCAGGCGGGCTCCCTCCCGGGCACAGGCACCAGGCGGCTCAGGCGTGTTCACGCCCACGTGGCCTGACACGGCTGCTCGCCCGCCTAAATGTTTGTGCCCGGATGTCACTGACAGCGAGCAGGACTCTCCACTGGGGTAGCATTTGGGGGAAATTGAATTTCCATCCTTTACACCCTGTTCAGGGGGTGGGGGTGGGGGGACACAGTGCAATCTTCCTTTTGTTTGTTTATTTATTTAAAATATATTTCTTTATTGACTTCAGAGAGGAAGGGAGAGGGGGAGAGAGAGAGAAACATCAGTGATGAGAGAGAATCATGGATCGGCTGCCTCCTGCACCTGCTGGGGACTGACCCTGCAACCCAGACATGTGGCCGTGGCTGGAATCAAACCGGGGACCCTTCAGTCCTCAGACTGATGCTCTATCCACTGAGCCACACCAGCCAGGGCACAATCTTCCTTTTGTTTAAAACCTACGGGAATAGTTGCTGCTCGCACACGTGGCCGCGGCCACCACGGGGCTGCCCACGGCTCTGTGCCGGCCTCCCAGCCTGGCTTAGGGCGGGTCAGTCCTACTGCAGGAAACAGCGTGAGCGTGAGCGCTGTCCGGTGAGGACCGCGCTGCCAGCGTGGCACCTGGGAGCCAGGAGAGGTCCGCTCCCGTGCTCGGTGCTTCCCTCTTGCTGCCCGATGGTGGCACAAGGTGGGGCATCCCTGTCCAGGCCCCAGCAGCAGGCTCTCCGGCCTTGGCCCCCCCACCCCCAGGCAGGCATTCAGGGAGGGACAGCACCCCCTCTCTCCCCTGAGCAGAGGCCCCGTTCCTGTAGGAGGCTCCATCCCAAGCTCTCCGTGACTCACGAGGCCCCACATGGACCCTCCCGGCCTCACCCCTTACACTCCCCCCCCCCCCTCCCAGCCGCTCATTACCCAGGAAGCAGAGCTTGCACAGTCAGTGGCGTGTCCATCGCTGGGACCTTGTTAAAATGCAGACGCCGGCTCGGCAGGCCTGGTGGGGCCTCGACGGTGCATTTCCCACACGCTTCCCAAGGAGGCCCCCCCTCGGAGCACAAAGCTCCAGGCACCGCTGCCACCACCCCCTCGGACCCCGGGCCTTCGCACGCTCTGCTCCCGGCGCACGGTGACACCCTCCCTCCGGCTCTGTGACTGCCCGGGGCGGGGGGGGGGGGGGGGCAAGGCTCCGACACGGGGCCCATGACGCCATCTCCAGCCCAGGGGTCGGCAAACTCATTCATCCACAGAGCCAGATACCAACAGCACAATGACTGGCATTTCTCTCGAGAGCCACATTTATTTATTTATTTTTATTATTTTTTAAATAATCATTTCTTTCTTTCTTTCTTTTAAAATATATTTTATTGATTTTTCACAGAGAGGAAGAGAGAGGGATAGAGAGTTAGAAACATCGATGAGAGAGAATCATCGATCAGCTGCCTCTTGCACACCTCCTACTGGGGATGTGCCCGCAACCAAGGTACATGCCCTTGACCGGAATCGAACCCGGGACCTTTCAGTCTGCAGGCCCACGCTCTATCCAGAGCCAAACCGGTTTTGGCAAGAGAGAGCCACATTTTTAAAAACTTAAACTTCTTCTAACGCCACTTCTTCAACACAGTCTCGCCCAGGCCGTGGCGTGTTGTGGAAGAGCCACACTCGAGGGGCCAAAGAGCCGCCCCCGGCTCTAGCCCGTTAGTGTGGATGCGGTGCACGTGGACCCAGGGACTACAGATAAAAACAGACGTCCCTCGTTAACCGAGGCACAGGAGGCATCCAGGCCTCCTGGTGTTTCCCTGCGTCCCTGACACTGACTTCATGCGTATGACGATGCCAGGAAACGTGCTCCGGATCGGCTTGAATTAAATCGCTGGGGAAACGGGGAGTCGCGCTGAGCTGGCCGAGTTCTCCCACTTCTTTGGGCGCCGCGAGGCCAATCACAGAAGTGGAATCACCCTCCCCGTCTCCCTGCCTGCAGCCGCCCCACCGGTGCGCTCAGACGCAGGCCCCTCCCGGGGGGTTAGGCGAACGGATGGCCCCCGTGCTGGTGGGCTGTCCTCCACGGCCTTCTGCTCCGGCTCAGAGACATCCATGTGCTTTTTTATTTGTTTTTTTATATCTTTATGGATTTCAGAGAGGAAGGGAGAGGGAGCGGGAGAGAAACATCAGTGATGAGAGAGCATCATTGATGAGCTGCCTCCTGCACGCCACCCCCCGGGGACGGAGCCCACCACCTGGGCATGCACCCTTTACTGGAATCAAGTCTGAGACCCTTCAGTCCACAGGCCGATGCGCTATCCACTGAGCCACACCAGCGAGGGCTGCTTTTTAAATTTTTTTAAAATATATTTTATTGATTTTTACAGAGACGAAGGAAGAGAGACAGAGAGCTAGAAACGTCAATGAGGAGAGAGAAACATCGACCAGCTGCCTCCTGCACACCCCCTACTGGGGATGTGCCCGCAACCAGCATACATGCCCCTGACCGGAATCGAACCCGGGACCTTTCAGTCTGCAGACAGACGCTCTACCACTGAGCCAAACTGGTTTTGGCAAGGGCTGCTTTAAAAAATAATAATAATAATATATATATATATATATATTATTTTAGAAAGGAAGGAGAGTGAGAGAGAGAGAACCATTGATGGGCTGCCTCCTGCACGCCCCCACTGGGATCGAGCCTGCAACCTGGGCATGTGCCCTGACGGGGAACCTGCTGGGTCACAGGCCGACGGCTGGGCCGTGTGTTTGCTCTGCACACCTGCCGTTCACAGAAGCGACCTAGTAAAACGAGGGAAATGCACGCCTCCGGCGAGGGAGGCCTCGCAGTGAACGGACGCAGCTGAGAGCCGCGTGCGGGGCCGTGCTCCGGCGAACGCGGGCGGAGGGCACGCCGCGGGCTGTGCTGGCGGGCGGCCCCGGGCGGACGGCTCAGCTGCTCCGTGCCTTCCAGCTGCAGAACCAGAGCGAGCTGCGGGCGCCCACGGCCGAGAAGGCCGCCTTCTTCCTGGACGCCGCCCTGGCCGCGCGCCGGGGCCACCGGCAGGACTGCGAGGAGGAGGACCTGCGCAGCTCCCACATGCTCTTCACGCTGCACCTGTACCAGTACCGCATGGAGAAGAGCAGCAAGGGCGGCAGTGAGTGCCCCCCCTTCCCCACGCCCCCGCTGTCCTCCCCCGCTGTCCTCCCCCGCTGTCCTCCCCCACTGTCCTCCCCCGCTGTCCTCCCCCACTGTCCTCCCCCGCTGTCCTCCCCCCCTGTCCTCCCCCCGTCCTCCCCCGCTGTCATCCCCCCACTGTCCTCCCCAACTGTCCTCCCCCACTGTCCTCCCCTCCACTGTCTTCCCCCCCGCTGTCCTCCCCCCCTGTCCTCCCCCATCCTCCCCCCTCCCCCGCTGTCCTCCCCCGCTGTCCTCCCCCCACTGTCCTCCCCCATCCTCCCCCCACTGTCTTCCCTCCACTGTCCTCCCCCCACTGTCCTCCCCCCACTGTCCTCCCCCATCCTCCCCCCGCCGTCCTCCCCCACTGTCCTCCCTCGCTGTCCTCCCTCCCCTCCACTGTCTTCCCCCCACTGTCCTCCCCCGCTGTCCTCCCCCACTGTCCTCCCTCGCTGTCCTCCCCTCCACTGTCTTCCCTCCACTGTCCTCCCCCCAGTGTCCTCCCCTCCACTGTCTTCCCTCCACTGTCCTCCCCCCAGTGTCCTCCCCCCACTGTCCTCCCCCATCCTCCCCCTGCTGTCCTCCCCCCAGTGTCCTCCCCCGCTGTCTTCCCCCGCTGTCCTCCCCTCCACTGTCTTCCCCTCTGCTGTCCTCCCCCACTGTCCTCCCCCATCCTCCCCCCAGTGTCCTCCCCCCACTGTCCTCCCCCATCCTCCCCCCGCTGTCCTCCCCCCACTGTCCTCCTCCCTCTGTCCTCCCCCATCCTCCCCCCGCTGTCCTCCCCCCGCTGTCCTCCCCCCGCTGTCCTCCCGCCGTGACCTGCCCCCTGGCGGGTTCCCAGCCGGTGCCCCTCGCCCCATGTGTCATTGGAGATCACTGTGGAGTCCGGCCGAGGGGGAAGGGTGCACCGGTGGAGATAATCCATGAGGGAGGGTCAGTGCCGTGGGCATGGGCGGGGGGAGGGCAGATAAAAAGGCCAACCACCTGCTTCAGGGCATCGTTTTGCTCCCAGCCCTCGCAGGCGCTCCCGGTGAGAGGCCAGCTTACGCCCAGGCGCCTGGCGGTGCGGTTAGTCCCTGTGGGCGGGCGGTGGATGGCTGAGCGGACTCCGGTGCTCCCTCCCATCGGCGGGGGTCCCTGTCTGCCGCCGCAGTCCCGAGGCAGCTGCAGGGCAGGCCCCCGCCCCCGGCAGGAGGAGGCTCAGCCTCTGCGCCGACCGAGGGCTGGCTCTGGCCTCACGGCCGGGCCTGTCTGTCCAGGTCCCCAGCCAGCGGCCCAGGCTCTCAGAAGGATGTCTCAGGTGCTCGGTGCCAGTGGCCCCTGAGGAGGGGGAGCCCTGGGGCCGGACGCTGTGAGCGCATTGGCTGACAGGGAGGCCATCCACTGGCCTGGTGGGAGGCGGAGCCTGGAGTTAGCACAGCCCCTGGGGTCTGGGGGTGGCTCCCCCGCTTCTCCCAGGTCTCCTCGGTGCCCGGAGTCTTGCAGGCCAGGATCCCAGAGGCAGCTCTGGGGCCGTATGCGGCTCCTTGGCCCCGTGAGGGTGGCTCTTCCACAAAACACCACGGCCTGGGCGAGTCTGTGTTGAAGACGTGGTGTTAGAAGAAGCTTAACGCTTAAAACATTGGGCTCTCAAGAGAAATGTCCATCGTTGTGCTGTCGACGTTTGGCTCTGTGGGTGAGTTTGCCGACCCCTGACAGGGGGTGCCTGCCGCCCCCACCTCCTCCCAGCGCCTCCGTTGGCCGGTCGGTCGTTCCCCTCTGTTCCTGCTCCTGGCGATGGTTTTAATTCCGCTTTAACGAGGGAGAGTTTACACTCGGTCACACCTGGCTGGGTGCCCTTGGGAAGTCTGTGCGGTTGTGTGACCAGCACCGCTGGGGAGGCGGCCCTCCGGGGACGGCTCTGCTTCTGGTCCTCGCCCCGCGCCTCCCGGTTCTGCTCTCGGTTCGGAACGGGAAGCAGGGAGGACTCTCGGAAGCAGAGAAGCCGCGAATGAGGTTGTCTCAGCTGTTAGAACTTCAAACTCGGTTGACGCCTGTGCATTACACCTGTGTCACCTGTGATGAGGGGGTCTGGAGTGTGTTCCGCATGGAAACGCTGTTTGCTTATGTGGAGGGATGAACCCCTGTGGCCTGGCATTCAGACTCGGTGAGGGGACAGTTAATTCAGATTCGGTGAGGGGACAGTAATTAATTCAGACTCGGTGAGGGGACAGTAATTAATTGGTGAGGGGACAGTTATTAATTCGCCTCCTGCCCGCAGGCAGCCGCGGGCGCTGTCCGCTGGCCCTGGGGAGCGGAGATGACAGGTTCAAAGAGGTTTCCGAGCCGAGGCCGGTGTGGCTCAGTGGATAGAGCGTCAGCCTGGGGATTGAAGGGTCCCGGGTTCAAATTCTGGTCAAGGGCATGTACCTTGGTTGCAGGCACATCCCCGGTGGGGGGTGTGCAGGAGGCAGCTGATCGATGATTCTCTGTTGTCGATGTTTCTGGCTCTCTGTCCCTCTCTCTTCCTCTCTGTAAAAACTCAATAAAATATATTAAAAAATATATATATGTATATATTTAAAAAAAAAAAAAAAAGAGGTTTCTGAGGCTAGAGCTAAGCTCCCTGAGCACACGCCTGGGCCGTGTACACACACACACACACACACACACACACACACGTGTGGGTTATACACACACAGATCCACACTGTAGTAGACGGAGAGGCGTGTGCTAAACGTGTCCAGTCAGGATGGGAAGGGATGGTCCATGGGGGCGTGTCACTGCTCTGTGTCTGCACTAGGTCACGCTTAGACTATTTCCCTGGTTTACAGAGTCTGTGGCAGTTAGTGGGACCGACACTTCATCCTGCACGGGGACCCCCACCCCGCTTTGCTAATCTGTGCCGGCTGCGGGCCCCCGGGAAGCCCAGCTCCGGAGAGGGACCCTGTGCCGTATCGTGGACAATGAGTGACTCTCTCTGCCGTCTAGTTTCGCTGCGTTTCGGAGAGAGAGAGAGAGAGAGAGAGAGAGAGAGAGAGAGAGAGAGAGAGAGAGAGAGGCACCAGCCTGTCACCTGTGATTCAGAGACACGCCCATCTGCAGCGCAGGCAGGACTCAGTAATTGCGGGACTGAGTTTAAAAGGGGAAATCATGTGAAATGGTCTGTGCATGTCATCAGCGTGTTATTTCGGCTTACAGCACACGCACGCACACGCCTCCGGCCTCAGTCCTCCGCTCCAGGGCGGGGCCTGCTCCCTGAGATTCAGCTGCTGCCTCTCGTAAGCACATGCATGTCCGCCGTCTGGCCTGCGCTTTGCGTTTCTTCTATGTGACTCAGGGGCCTCAGTGCCCTGGGCGGCCAACAGAGAGACTTGCTCTAGTTTCCTAGCATGTTTTCCACTCGGTAACTTTCCATTCACACCTATTTAGCGTCTTTTTTAAGAAAACACACACACACACACTCATTTTTATCACATCTTTCCAAAGCACTGGATTTAACTTAGAGACGTCAGTCTTTACACGGTCTTCTTATTGCTTTACATAATAACGTGATTATAGTTCTCTAGAGGCCCGCTGCATGGCATTCGTGCACTCGGGAGGGTCCCTCAGCCTGGCCTGCACCCTCTCGCAGCCTGGGAGCCCTCGGAGGATGTCCAGCTGATGTCTGCGGGCAGAGGGCCCAAGCCAGCTGGCAGACATCCTCAGCACTGGCGGAGGCGGGAGAGGCTCCCACCACCACTGCTGTGCTCACCAGCCAGGAGCCTGGCTTCTGGCTGAGGGGCGCTCCCCCTGTGGGAGCGCACTGACCACCAGGGGGCGGCTCCTGCATTGAGCGTCTGCCCCCTGGTGGTCAGTGTACGTCATAGCGACCGGTAGTTCCACCTTTGAGCCGGAACCAGCCCTCTGACATCCCCCAAGGGATCCTGGGTTGCAAGAGGTGCAGGCCAGGCTGCACAATCGGGGCAGGGAGGGACAGAGGAGGGCTCAAGGGCATGTCTGGCCTATCTCACGGGCCTCCCCACCCTCTGTCCAGCCCCTGCGCCCTCTGCCCGGCCCCTCCCTCTGAGCCCTGCAGGGTGATGAAGGCATTTGGTAACGTCCTCAGCACACACACAGGGCGCCTTTGTTCTCTGCTGCGTTAGGACCTGCCCCTCACGCACTCGGTGCATCACCTCAGAGGCCTGAGCGTCCACCCCGGCCCGGCTTTTCCTTCAGTCTGCGGGCCGGGGGCTGTCCGTCCTCCTGTCTGTGGACAGTAATCCCGCTGCAAAGCAGATGCCGTTTTGCTTTAAAAGTAACTCTTTTCCTTGCATGGTGCCGCGACCTGACCTTGCAGGAGAGGAAAGGGGATAAGAGAGGAGCACAGGACATCCTCCCTTTTAAGGCTGGACATGCCGGGAGGCAAACAGAGCATCCGTCCTGGGTGTGGGGCCTGGGTGTGGGGCCGGGGTGTGAGGCCAGGGTGTGGGGCCTGGGTGTGGGGCCTGGGTGTGAGGCCAGGGTGTGGGGCCTGGGTGTGGGGCCTGGGTTTGGGGCCTGGGTGTGAGGCCTGAGGGTGAGGCCGGGGTGTGAGGCCGGGGTGTGGGGCCTGGGTGTGGGGCCGGGGTGTGGGGCCTGGATGTGGGGCCGGGGTGTGGGGCCAGGGTGGGGGGCCTGGGTGTGGGGCCGGGGTGGGGGGCCGGGGGGTGGGGTCGGGGTGTGGGGCCGGGGTGTGGGGCCAGGGTGTGGGGCCTGGGTGGGGGGCCTGGGTGTGGGGCCTGAGGGTGAGGCCGGGGTGTGGGGCCGGGGTGTGGGGCCTGGGTGTGGGGCCGGGGTGTGGGGCCTGAGGGTGAGGCCTGAGGGTGAGGCCGGGGTGTGGGGCCGGGGTGTGGGGCCGGGGTGTGGGGCCTGGGTGTGGGGCCTGGGTGTGAGGCCTGGGTGTGGGGCCGGGGTGTGGGGCCGGGGTGTGGGGCCGGGGTGTGGGGCCCGGGTGTGGGGCCGGGGTGTGGGGCCCGGGTGTGGGGCCGGGGTGTGGGGCCTGGGTGTGGGGCCGGGGTGTGAGACTGGGGTGTGGGGCCCGGGTGTGGGGCCGGGGTGTGGGGCCGGGGTGTGGGGCCGGGGTGTGAGACTGGGGTGTGGGGCCGGGGTGTGGGGCCGGGGTGTGGGGCCGGGGTGTGGGGCCGGGGTGTGCGGCCTGGGTGTGGGGGCCGGGGTGTGGGGCCGGGGTGTGGGGCCGGGTTGTGGGGCCGGGGTGTGGGGCCGGGGTGTGGGGCCTGGGTGTGAGGCGCTCTGGGCCGTAGACACACCAGGTACCGAGAGGCGGGAAGGAGCGCCCTGCGGCCAGCAGTCACCTCCTTCGCCCTCCCGGCAGGAGAGTGGAAACGGAGGTGATGGGTGGGCGGGGAGAGCCGAGGTCAGGGCCCAGGCTCCCGGTGACCTCCCCGCAGCCTGAACCCTGACACTCCCCGCTGCACCATCCTGTGGCTCCGCCCGCGGCTCTGCGGGTGCCCAGAGCCGCCCCGGGCCAGCACGTCCCCCAGCCCCAGGCGGCCACCCCACCCTGCGTCCGCTTTCTCTGCCCACCCGGCCCGCCCGCCGGGCGCCCACAGCCAGCCCCGTGGCTCCCTCCGCCCTGTCCCCCCACACAGGAGGGGAGGCGGGGAGCAGGGTGTGAGCTGGGCACCCCGGCAGGTGGGGATGCAGAGGCCTGGGGAGCGAGAGGGGAGGGCGGTGTGTAATCTGGTGAGATGTGTTGTACATGGACATGGCACCCGGAAACCAGCACCACAGCCAGAGAGGGCACACGCCCAACACCCCAAAAGTTCTGGGACCTTTGCCATCGCTCCCACCAGCTCCCCTCCCTCCTCCCTCCACTCCCTCCGTCCTCCCTCCAGTTCTCCCCTCCTCCCTCCACTCCCCTCTGTCCTCCCCTCCAGCTCTCCCCTCCTCCCTCCACTCCCTCCGTCCTCCCTCCAGTTCTCCCCTCCTCCCTCCACTCCCTCCGTCCTCCCTCCAGTTCTCCCCTCCTCCCTCCACTTCCCCTCCGTCCTCCCTCCAGCTCCCACCTCCCTCCCTCCACTCCCCTCCGTCCTCCCTCCAGCTCCCCCCTCCTCCCTCCACTCCTCTGTCCTCCTCCAGCTCCCCCTCCTCCCTCCAGCTCCCCTCCCTCCTCCCTCCTCCCTCCAGCTCCCCTCCCTCCTCCCTCCTCCCTCCAGCTCCCCTCCCTCCTCCCTCCAGCTTCCCTCCCTCCTCCCTCCTCCCTCCAGCTCCCCCCTCCTCCCCTCACTCCCCTCCCTCCTCCCTCCTCCCTCCAGCTTCCCTCCCTCCTCCCTCCTCCCTCCAGCTCCCCTCCCTCCTCCCTCCTCCCTCCAGTTCTCCCCTCCTCCCTCCACTCCCCTCCCTCCTCCCTCCAGCTCCCTCCCTCCTCCCCTCCTCCCTCCAGCTTCTTCCCTCCTCCCTCCAGCTCCCCTCCCTCTTCCCTCCAGCTCCCCCCTCCTCCCCTCACTCCCCTCCCTCCTCCCTCCCACCCGCGGGCACTGCTGACCGGCTCTAGTTCCTCTGCTCTCCTGGCATTCCCGGGATCCCACACAAACGGGCCAGATCTGGGCGGTCCTCGGTGTCACTCGCACACGTCCTGGGAGAGGCGGTCTTTGGGGTTGTGCCCCTGGTTCGGACACGTGTGTCTGAGGGGCGGCCCGCTGCCTGGGCGGCGGCCCCGTGTGCCTGTCCGCCTGCGATGGGCGTTTGTGCCGTTCCACACGTTGGCCGAGAGGAGGTGTCCCCGTCCCTTCCTCCGGCCTGAAGCACAGGGCTCATGGCACGTTTCTTTTTTTTCTTTTTTTTATGTATTTTACCGACTTTTCACAGGGAGGAAGAGAGAGGGATAGAGAGTCAGAAACATCGATGAGAGAGAATCATCGATCAGCTGCCTCTTGCACACCCCCCACTGGGGATGTGCCCGCAACCAAGGTACATGCCCTTGACCGGCATCGAACCCGGGACCCTTCAGTCCGCAGGCCGACGCTCTAGCCACTGAGCCACACTGGTTTGGGCAGCCGGCACGTTTCTTAGCTTTCCTGAGCGCCTGTGTTCCCGCCTCTGAGGAGGAGGAGGTACGGCTCCCGGTCTGACCGCGGGGACCGATGAGGCTGTGGGGGCCGGGCCTGGCGCTCGGCGGACGCTCAGCTGACACGGGGCCCCTCCCTCTCGGCGCCGGCTCTGCCGCTGCCCGGGGTGACCCTGGGTTCGAACCGGTGGCCCCGAGCTCCGGTCAGGTCCTGTGATGAGCAGCCAGAGCAGCTGGTCCCGCCTGGGTCGTTCCGGTTCCAGCTGGATCAGTTCCAGGACCCGCTGCCCACGGACACACGGATCTCCTTCTGGGCCTTTCCTCCCGCAGCCCCGCCCGTCCGCGCGCGCAGGACATGGGACGGATGGGTAATGGTATGAGGTCGGCGACGGGTGCCGGACGGAATGTAAGGGAGCCATGGCGTTGGCCACCCGGCGTGATTTTGTTGGGGTTCCCACCAGACCCGTGGCCGGCAAACTGCGGCTCTCGAGCCACCTGCGGCTCTTTGGCCCCTGGAGTGTGGCTCTTCCACAAAACACCACATGCGGGCGCGCACGGACAGTGCGATTGAAACTTCGTGGCCCTGCCGAAACGGGTGTGGCTCAGTGGATAGAGCGTCGGCCTGCGGACTGAAGGGTCCCGGGTTCGATTCCGGTCAAGGGCATGGACCTCGGTTGCGGGCACATCCCCAGTGGGGAGTGTGTAAGAGGCAGCTGGTCGATGTTTCTCTCTCATCGATGTTTCTAACTATCTTTCTCTCTTCCTCTCTGTAAAAAATTAATAAAATATATTTAAAAAAACAAAAATAAAGAAACTTCGTGGCCCATGTGCCGAAGTCGGTTTTCAGCCTGGGCGAGTCTGAAGAAGTGGCATTAGCACACTCCAGGGGCCCAAGAGCCACAGGTGGCTCTCCATCCACGGTTTGCCGACCACTGCCCTAGACCGTGACCGTCAGCCTTTGGCTCTCCCCCCCCGGACGCCCCCCGGAGCCGCCGGAGGACGGTGAGTGTCTGCAGACTAACCCCCCTGTCCTCTCCCCGCAGTGTCCGGGGGCCGCAGCCGCCTGCACCTGCTGGACCTGGGCAGCTGCGTGCGGGCGCTCAGCAAGAGCCGCGACGGCGGCGCCGGGCTGTGCCTGTCCCTGTCCGCGCTGGGCAACGTCATCCTGGCGCTGGTCAACGGCAGCAAGCACGTGCCCTACAAGTGAGTGCTCCCCGAGGGCGGAGGGCAGGCAGCAAGCAGGTGCCCTACAAGTGTGTGCTCCCCGAGGGCGGAGGGCAGGCAGCAAGCAGGTGCCCTACCAGTGAGTGCTCCCCGAGGGCGGAGGGCAGGCAGCAAGCAGGTGCCCTACCAGTGAGTGCTCCCCGAGGGAGGAGGGCGAGCAGTAAGCAGGTGCCTACCAGTGAGTGCTCCCCGAGGGCGGAGGGTGGGCAGCAAGAAGGTGCCTACCAGTGAGTGCTCCCCGAGGGAGGAGGGCGAGCAGTAAGCAGGTGCCCTACCAGTGAGTGCTCCCCGAGGGCGGAGGGCAGGCAGCAAGCAGGTGCCCTACCAGTGAGTGCTCCCCGAGGGCGGAGGGCAGGCAGCAAGCAGGTGCCTACCAGTGAGTGCTCCCCGAGGGAGGAGGGCGAGCAGTAAGCAGGTGCCTACCAGTGAGTGCTCCCCGAGGGCGGAGGGTGGGCAGCAAGAAGGTGCCTACCAGTGAGTGCTCCCCGAGGGAGGAGGGCGAGCAGTAAGCAGGTGCCCTACCAGTGAGTGCTCCCCGAGGGCGGAGGGCAGGCAGCAAGCAGGTGCCCTACCAGTGAGTGCTCCCCGAGGGCGGAGGGCGGGCAGTAAGCAGGTGCCTACCAGTGAGTGCTCCCCGAGGGCGGAGGGCGGGCAGCAAGCAGGTGCCCTACCAGTGAGTGCTCCCCGAGGGCGGAGGGCAGGCAGCAAGCACGTGCCCTACCAGTGAGTGCTCCCCGAGGGCGGAGGGCGGGCAGCAAGCAGGTGCCCTACAAGTGTGTGCTCCCCAAGGGCGGAGGGCGAGCAGTAAGCACGTGCCCTACAAGTGAGTGCTCCCCAAGGGCGGAGGGCGGGCAGCAAGCACGTGCCCTACAAGTGAGTGCTCCCCGAGGGTGGAGGGCGGGCAGCAAGCACGGGCCCTACAGGTAAGCTCCCCGGAGGGTGGGCAGAGGGCAGAGGGCGGGCGGAGCTGGAGGGGGGAGCTGGAGGGAGGAGGGGGGAGCTGGAAGGAAGAGGGCAGAGGGCGAGACCATGTGTTGGTTCAGGGCAGGAAACCCTTCTTCACTGACGGCCTCGGAAGGCAGGACCCTCCACAGTCAGAAAGGATGGAAATGCTGGCATCAGCCCGTCCTGGCTGTAGGCTGCCCAGGGGAAGGAAACGGAATCCTCTCAGCGGAGGTCTCAGTCCCAGCTGCTCTGGGGGTGCTGTGCCCATTGTGCGGGGTACTGTGCCCATTGGACAGGGTACTGTGCCCATTGGATGGGGTGCTGTGCCCATTGGATGGGGGCACTGTGCCCATTGGATGGGGGTACTGTGCTCGTTGTGCGGGGTACTGTGCCCATTGGACGGGGTACTGTGCCCATTGGATGGGGGTGCTGTGCCCATTGGACAGGGTACTGTGCCCATTGTGCGGGGTACTGTGCACATTGGATGGGGGTACTGTGCCCATTGGACGGGGTACTGTGCCCATTGGACGGGGTACTGTGCCCGTTGGATGGGGGTACTGTGCCCATTGGATGGGGGTACTGTGCCCATTGAATGGGGGTACTGTGCCCATTGATGGGGTACTGTGCCCATTGGATGGGGTACTGTGCCCGTTGTGCAGGGTACTGTGCCCATTGTGCGAGGTACTGTGCCCATTGGATGGGGGTACTGTGCCCGTTGTGCGGGGTACTGTGCCCATTGGATGGGGGTACTGTGCCCGTTGTGTGGGGTATTGTGCCCATTGGATGGGGGTACTGTGCCCATTGTGCAGGGTACTGTGCCCATTGTGCGGGGTACTGTGCCCATTGGACAGGGGTACTGTGCCCGTTGTGCAGGGTACTGTGCCCGTTGTGCGGGGTACTGTGCCCGTTGGATGGGGGTACTGTGCCCGTTGTGCGGGGTACTGTGCCCGTTGTGCGGGGTACTGTGCCCGTTGTGTGGATGCACCTACCTCATGGTGATGAGAGCAGGGGCTGTGATGGCTGGCCACCCTGTAGGACGCGGGCGGCCAGGTAACCGGGACAGCTGCTGCCAGGCTGACCCTCAGACGGACGGCATCGCCTTTAGACTGTAAATGTGCCACCGGAGCCGCGTGAGGCCGGGGGGAACGTGTTTTACCCAAAGCCTCCGAGCGGACTCACACAGCTGGGGGTGACCACCCATCTGTGCAAATGCGTTTCCATGGCCGGGGTCCCCCTTTCTGAGCGTGAGCGGGGTGCAGCCGTGCCCCTGGCCGCAGCCCGGGGCGTGCTGGGGTGACGTGATGGGGGGAAGGGCTGGTGGGGTTCAGAGCGCTGTGACCGGGAGCCAGCAGGACTGACCCGGGTGCCGTGCTCTGGGCACATGGAAAGCACACCTGCCGGCGAGGCTGTCTGAGGGTGAGGCACACACAGGGGATCCCCGTGTCCCTCTGTGACATCCTCAGCCTGAGTCAGCGACGGGGAGGGACAGGGCGCCAGGCGGCCGATGCCACAGGGACCCAGCGCTGCGTCCGTCCCTCCCCGCTGACTTCCTGCTGCCCCTTCTCTCTGGGGCCAGCCTCCTGGGAGGAGCGGGCGGAGCCTGGGGCTGTCGCTGTCAGCCCCGGTGAGCAGTCAGGAGCCAAGGTCATTTCTGGGAAGGTAGCCGCCTCGGGGCACGGCCGTTCACCCACACCAGCCAGCAGCCTGGAGCCTCACATCCACGGCGGCGACGGTGGCGAGTGACCGGTCACAACAGAGGCGGCTCTTTAACCGTCACCACTTGCCTGGCCGCGCGCGGTGCAGGCAGGGCCGGTGGTCTGGGGGCTATCAAGCGCTCGGAGGGTGCTTTCTCCTGCGGCCAGTTGTTATCATTTTTACAATTTTTATTGATTGATTTTCAGAGAGAGAGAGAGGAAGGGAGAGAGAAACAGCCATTTGTTGGGTCATTTATTTTTATTTAATACTTTTCTCGATGTCAGAGGGGAAGGAGGAGGGTGAGAGAAACATCAGTGACGGGAGAGAATCGTGTATTGGCTGCCCCTTGCACATCCCCCACTGGGGATGGAGCTCACAGTTGAGGCCTGTGTCCTGAGCGGGATTCGAATCGTGCCTTTCTGGTTCATAGATCGACACCCAACCACTGAGCCACACTAGCCAGGGCTGTGCCACTTCCTTTTGCATTCATTGGTCGCCTCTGGTATGTGCCCTGACTGGGGATCGAACCTGCAAACCATGGCATGTGGGGACAACGCCCTAACCAACGGAGCTACCCGGCCAGGGTCCCGGCGGGCGGCCAGTGCGGGCGGGCGAGAGAGGAGCTCATGGCTGCTGTCAGCCTCTCTGGGCAGCCCCGGCTCCCGTGGGCGTGGCGGTGTGGCCTCGGGGCCCGAATGTGTCATTTACGCTTCACACGGAGTCAGTCACGTAGGTGTTTTCCGGGGGAAATGCGAAGGAATATCCGCGCTTCGGATTTCCATGAGACGGCGGGGAGTGGAGAGAGCTCTGTGTAAGGCGTGTGTGCGTGCGTGCATGTGTGCCTGTGTGCGTGCGTGTGCATGCGTGTGTGCGTGTGAGATGTGAGACACACCCCCACGCACACCGGTGCCGTTAGCAGCCTTTCCGTGCACACGGATGCTGCATGATCTCCCGATTTGCAGGGAGAACATCCATGTGGAACTATTCGCACCGACTCCGGTCCCCGGGCGTAGCGTTCGCCGGTTAGAAATGAAACAGCCCAAGGCTCCGTTGCCAAGCAGCGGCCGCAGTGCCGATGCTCGGTGCCGCTGCTGCAGACACACTCGTCGGCGGCATCGCGTTAAGGCCGTCAGGACGCGGCGAAGGCGGGTCCGGCCGTCGCCCCCGCGGACGTCCCTGTGGCAGGAGGTTCGGCGTCCGTCCCTCCATCACGCCTCCGCCTCTGTGCGCCTCCCGTCCAGCGGCATCTGTCTCCGCGGTTAATCCCGAGGCTGCTCTTGCTCCCCTGAGAGCCGAGGCCGCGAGAGGCCTGCCAGGTCCGTCTCAGAGCCGCCACGTCCCCGGGGGTGGGGGCCGCCGGGGACCCCCTGGGGTCACGACCCTGGTCCCTTGCTAGTGAGTAGACGAACTGCCTCCGAACGCCACCCCTTCTGTTCTGGTGGCCACGCTCCGGCCTCTGAGGGGGAGCCGGTGCTGGGCCCCTCACCACCTCTCGGGGCACCGCGGTGTCCCTGCTCTGTGTCTCCTGGGTGGGCCCCTCCTGGCTCATGGCCTTCCTTCTGGGGACAAAGACCTCCTCACTGGCCTTTAGCTTCTCACGGTTCCCCCCCCTGATGTTCAGTCTCCGAGATCACCAAACGCTTCTCTGCAGGCTCTGACCCAGTCGGCAAACAGAGACAGGGGTCGGATGGGGACGTGAACCCCCGTCTGCTTAGTCCTGGCCGGGAAAGGGGGCTCCCGCCTGTCCCTCCGCAGCAGGACCCCGGGACTCAGGGACGGGCAGGGGGTGTCGGCAGGGCCGTCACTCACCTGGAGTCTCGGGGGGCGAGTGGAGGAATGCGTGTGACCGGCAGGGAGACAGTGTCCCAATAATTCCACAAGGGACGTATGCACAGGTGGCCTAGGCGCCTCAGCCAGGAGTCTGGCACGCACGACCCTAGCTACTTAATTAATAATTGCATTATTAATTAAGTACCGAGCATAAATCACACAGGAGACAAACATGCAATGCACGGATCACTCACGGTTTATTTGCCAGAGTCCTGGTGGGTTCCAGACCTCGGCAGGCCACCCGGGGATCCACACTGACAGACAGATAGACAGACAGACACACACACACACACACACACACACACACACACGGTTCACAGAGGACTTTGCAGCTGCAGCTCAGCTTGAGTTGAGGCCTCTCAGGACGGCTCACCATCCACGGCTCAGGGTTCGGGGCTCACGGCTCAGGCAGAGCTTTGACTGGTGCAGGCAGGGGAAGTGGAGAGCGACCCTCCGTGGAGGAGCAGAAGGGACGTCTCTGATCTTCTGTGGGGCTTGCTCAAACTGGC